TTCTGTTTTAGAAATGTGCACAGTGAGAGTTGACTTTGACCTTTTATACTTTTTCTCTACCTATAAGCAGTCTGAGTAGTCAAACATTCAAAATACTTCCTTACAAAACTTGGTGGAAGAAGCAAAATTTTCCTGTGGAAAATTTTATTTTTGGAATGCAGGAAAACTTCCCACTACTTCCCAATTTGGAAGAAAAACGAATGGCTACTGCTAGGAAATGCAGTCTGTGAAATCAAAGTGCGCCTGGAAGTGCAGGTTTCATTTTGTTCTGCATCCATTTGTACAGTTCTGACTTTTTCTGCACACAGATGTGCCTCTAGGAAAAAATCAGCTGTGTCCTGGGCTTTACACCATCTAAAAAGTTCTGCTGGTGTTATGTACCAGCAGAGAGCAGCAGAACCCAACCTGAAATGCAGCCATAACGTGCGGTAGTCCTCCTCCGCTGCTTCATCATCGCTTTCTGTCACCATTTCCCAGGCAGACCAACTGCGTGAACCTGGGCTGTGCGAATCTGTGACACTGAAACCAGGCTGGTAAAAAATAGCGTTTGGGAAGGGGGGTGTTTCAACTTCCGTTTACAGAAAAACCTGCTCCTTCAGCAAGTAAATCTGTTTCTGTTTTTAAAATGATGAGCCCCAGCTCTGGAGCTTATCAGCATGTAGTGTAGCACAGCTCCCAGTTATGCAAAATCACACCAATTGACAATGTGGCTCAGTAATAAGTTAAATCCCATGTAAAAAGCAAAATAGAGCATCCTTAACTATTAAAATATATTAGATAGATAGATAGATAGATAGATAGATAGAGAGAGAGAGAGTCCTTTTCTTTTCAATAGCCAGAGAGAACACAGATTGGTCAGCATTAACTTCCAGCTTTCAAAGCCAAGAACAGCCATGATTAATTACTTAGTATTTCCTTCTTCTCCTCCTTGTTCTTGTATTAAAATTCAGCTTTCTCCAGTAGGTCAGATAAGAGACTATATCTCTCATTATTAAAAAAAACAAGGTTATAATGCAATGATTGAATTCTCTTTAGAATCACAGAGTGCCAGTATATTTCAGAGGCAACATGTAGGCAGCACTCGTTTCCCTTTGAAAAACCTAAACCGCTAAATGTTCTCTGGGTTACAAGTCCCACAGAATTGTGTGCATAGCTCCCTCTTGGGCTGCAGAGCAGATCAACTCACACCCATTGCTGGGAATAGAAAGCTTTCCATTTCTAGCAGCACACAGCCTGACTGGTGAGCTTATTCGGAGCCTCATGCAAAGTCTATCTCAGCAGTGGAAGTATTTTCCTTGATTTCAACTGACATTAGATTAGGCTCCATGGAATAATCAAAATCAGAAAGCCACACTCATCACCCTTAACATCATGGTCCTAATTCTTTGCCCAAGTTTGTGTTTCTTTTATCATGGTGCTTTTTAGCAGTAGTCAGAAGAGGAATGCAGGTGAGCATGAAGATGAGGAACCAGAAAGTGAAAGCAATGAAAGATGTAAAGGCAAAGCTAAATTTCCTTCTAAAATAAGAGGGCAAGTGGTCTCTCAGTGTCAGACATAGGGCCAATATAAACCAGGAAAAAATAGTTTTGAGCCAATGAAATTGACTTGTCTTTGTGTTTGGTGGAAAGGAAAGTCCTAGAAAATTCAGTGGGATGTGGGACAGCATATTGAAAACTGTGATCTGAGAGGCAGATTTTGCTGGTGGGAGTGTGTCTCTAAGTAGTTGTGGAGGGAGTAACAAAAGGGTGGTAGACAAGAACTAGGAATATAACTTGTGTGTTTTGGAGAAATGCTCATTGCAATACGATGCAGCAAGCTAAGTCTGCAAGGGCAGTAGGGAAGAAAGCCAAAGCTATTGAAGCTAAGGGTAAAGTTATCATTTAAGGCTCAAAAATAATGAGCTAAAAAGAAATAAACTATTTTTTGACAACTGATGGTCTTGACAATCTGTATCCAGCACACCCAGAAGTAGATATGTGAGCCCCTGTGCCTGCTCCGAAGTCCAGTTTCCTAGAGGTAATCATGATCTGCCTGAGATCTGCATCCTGCTGCAGCTCTCAAGCAATGCATCATTTTTCTCTCTGTTAGATGCTCTCAAATGCTTGAACAAGTCTATTGTTACTGAGTACCTGGCACTCTCCCAGCCCAAAGGTGACTGCATTGGCAGTGCTGGATGAAACTTCACAGCGAGGAAAGCGCACTCTTCCCAATGAAGGCTGCACAGTCAATCTACATTTGTTGTGGTTTTACCTGACCTATAACCCTAGAAATCTCTGAAATATGTGTGTATAAATATGTGCTGAGGAAAGTACTGGGCTTATATTGTAAAGCTTTATGACAGTGATTCAGGAAAAAAATATAAGAAAAGAGTATTTGTGTGACAAGCCAAGGCAAAGGTAAATCCACGTCTTCTCTTCCTTGGCTTCTCTACATTCCTGAGAGAAGAAATCATTAATGAGGTGAGCCCTACTCTGTGCTGTACACTTCCCATTTATCCCTGTGGGTTGCTACATATGTGGAAGCTGTAGTCCTGCTGCACATAAACATGAAAATTGCTGAAGTTGTTCATACAGATAGGAAAGTACTTGGTTTTGTTACCTTGCTGAGTTAAGGCAGCACAAGCAGTAGGGAGAGACTATGTTTAATTTGCCTTAGCACTTTAATCTTGCTGTTTATTGCCATGTCTAAAGCATACAGAGACAAACAAAGCTTTCCATTGACTCAAAAAGCGGCTCACACCTCCAGTGCAGTAAATCTGCAGATTGGAGCTGTGTCTCATTAGATGTATTTTGAAGGTTCGGTACAGACTGGATTTTGCTGTTATTTCTGCCACTGCCCCTATGAGCTCAGTGGACACAGAGCCTGGTCCTGGCTGCTCTTGGAAATGCCACTCTAATTTTCTAGCTAGTTGTAGAAAGAAAGTTAAGCTGTATTTACATTTATTGGGGGTTGCTGCTTAGCTGCATTTTGTTTCATAACAGCCTGAGTTTCTGCAACTCTTGACTTCAGAGGCACCCTCAAGCTCTTGCTTTTGCTAATCAGACCTCCTTGCATCTTTGGTTTGGCCACCTCTGTTGTCTTTTTGGCACTCATCCTAGCTACCACACTCTTCAGTGGCCACCTTCTGCCTGACCCTTTTTGCCCTACGCAGTAACAACAGAAAACCACTACTGCTTTTTCCTAGCCTGGCGCCTGTGACCATGATGCAGGGACAGGCAGTGAGATGGAAGCAAGTCGCTTCCCCAGCTATGCCCCAGAGGCACTTATCTCCAGCTGGCCTCGTACCTTCCCTTGCCACCCCCAGCGGTGGCAGCCCTGCACCGTCCTCGTGTTGCCACGGTCGATGGGAGAGTGGCTCCATGCCCGGAGCTAGGAAGGGATGGGCGATGCGGGACAGGCATGTCCTTGCGGATGCTGCAGCCAGGGCTGGCAGCAACCAGGTGCGGATTGTGGGGCTGCTCCGCCACCCCCGGGCTGCGCCGCAGACCAGCACCCCCTTTCCTTCCCCCCCTCCCTTTCCAGCTGGGAACGAAACCAGCAGCAATTATTCAAGCCAAGCACGTAAATCTGACAGATCCCGCGGCCCGGGTTTGACGCAGCTTAGCAGTGCAGTGTCCGGACGCACAGCCCGATCCCCTCTTCTCCCAGTGTTTATTTACTCCGCAGCGAAGTTATCAACTTCACCAGCCATGAGCAGCGCCTAGGGGCTGCGGGAGATCGGGGTGCGGGGAGGCAGAAACGGCCACCGGGGTGTGGAGGACGGACTGCCAACGCCGGGTCAGCCGGGGCCGAGAGTGCGGGCGGCTCTGCCGGGGCAGCCCGGGCTGCGCGTTACATAAGGAGCCAGGCTCTGCATCGCTCCGCACCGCAGTTGCGGAGGGCGGGGGGGCGGCGGAACAGGACAGGGCTCACCCCCCCCCTTCCCCCCATCTCACGGCTTGAGGAGCTCCCGGGCTCGCCGAGACACCGGGGCACGAGTGCTCGGGCCGCCGGAGGGGCAGCGGCGCTGGTCTGCACGAAGCGGAAAGCGCGGAGCGCCCAGAGCTCGGAGCCTCCGCGGACGCCGGGAAGCCCCGGGGGGCTGAGCTGGTCCCCGCGGGCAATGCTTGGTAGCGGAGGGACCCCGCGGGTTGGACGTTATGTAACGAACGCCTCGTTTCCCTCTCCAGGGCAGGAGAGAGGCCAGAGTGCTTCATGTGCCGATTCATTTCGGGATCTGAAGCTATTTGCCCTTTTGTTTTGCTTTGTTTTGGTCGCACTCCCGAGCTGTCGCGGGACCCCGTACAACCACAACTGCTTCTGCCTGCGGGCTGTCCCGAAACGAGTCAGCACGGCGGGTCTCCCGCCGGGAACGGCGCATCCCATGCGCTACGGAGGGGCTCTGGCAAGCCGGGGACGGGGGGGGCGCGGAGCCGCAGGGCGCTGCAGCACGTCCACGGCCGCGGAGGGAGGGGGGGCCCCGGCGCTGTCCGCGGTGCTGAACCCCGCCCCGCAGTGCCGAGCAGCCGAGCACTGTCCGCGGTGCTGATACAGCCCCCCCGTCTCCGCCGCCGCCTCTGTCCGCGGTGCTGAAGCGCCGCCGCAGCCCGGCGCAGGAAGGGCGCTGCAGTGCCCCGGGCGGCAGCAGCCCGGTCCGGCCGAGCAGGGCAGAGCGGCCGCAGAGCCTTTTTCTAGCTCCCGGGGTGAATGGAGCCGGGTTCCCTTCTCCTCCGACCTTCCCCTGGCTTTCCTTCTCCTCCGGCCTCGGGCAACCCCCAAGCGAGCCTGCCACGGCAGAGAGGCAGAGCCCAGCTCCCACCCCTGGCTGCAGCCGGCGATGAGGCTGTGCACGAGATTACCCCCCTCTCCCTGCTTCCCTCCACCCCCGCAGCAGCCAAGGGGCCGCAGACAAAAAGCCGACCAGGTCCCTCTTTAAATATATCATTTTTCCCATTTCATTTTCGTTAATATCCCCCCCTTCCCCTGTGCAGCCTGTCCCCCCGGTAGTATCCCACCCGTACCTCTGCTTGTGGAGCTCTACGCCGGGCCGCGGCTGCGAGGTCTGTGGGTCGGTACCGCAGATGGGAGGCAAGGACAGCCGCTGCTGACCTCCCCGGGTCTCCTTCTTCAATGGATCGGGAGCCGTGCCCTCATCAAAGATGGCCGTCCGCTCCTACGTCAGCAGCTTTTAATAGCCCTCCCCAGCGGGGGGGGCGAGGGGGGAGTGGAGGGAGGGAGGCGGGAGCGGGAGGGGAACGGAGAGGGGCCGGGCGGGCTTGAGTCATCGCTGCCGCCGCACCGCTCCGCGCATCGCGCACCGCCGCCGGGGCCGCCCCTCCGCCGGCTCCCTCGGTGTGGAGCAGGGCGCAGGGGCTGGGGGCTGAGCGCGGCTGCGGGTGAACCGCCTGGGGAGGGGGGAAGTGGGCCTCCTGCAGCAGCGATTTCCTCCGCCAAAGGGGTGGTCCGAAGAGGGTATCCCTCTGAAGTCCCTGGTACTCCATATATGGCCAATCTACGTGGGCTTCTATTTTTATGTGTGATTTCTTCATTCTCTCCCTCTTTTTATTTCGCAGAACACGCTGCCAGGGGTCTGCGTGTGTTAATCTGATTATTCCCCCTCTCCCCCCTCCCCCTAAGTGAGAGCAGCCAAGCACAGGGAAATTCATGGTTAAGGACATGTGTTATAACTGATCATTTGAGGGATGGGCTCGAAAACGAGAGTGAGGGAGAAATTCAAAACAAACAAAAGCCTGGGCACGTACGCACAGCAGTGAGCACATCCCACTGCTGCTGAGGAGGGAAACGGTGCCTCTGTTCCAGGAAAGAGCACAGCTTATTTATAATGGATTAATTAAAATATTCATTCAGAGCGTACCTAATTTGGAACAAATGGAGCTGTCTCCTGTGTGATTTCCAATGCGGAGGAAATCCTTTCATTTCCTACAAAATGCATTTTTGTCAAATTTATCTCTTAATGGGGATTGTAATGAGAGATGGGGATTGCATCTGGAATGCGACGCTTTCTTTCATAACCTCAGTCATCCTTTCCTTTCCTTTTCATTCCACAAGTCTTGGTGCGTTCATTTATGGAACCATCCAGACCTACAGACAAGTGGCGATGTCTCCCTCTACCCTGTCTGTGCCTCTCTTGTGAGCAATGATTGAGCACTGGCTACGTTTAACTCTGACACCGCACGTACAGGCTTTTCTAAATAGTCTGCGGATGACACAGAGTCAAAACATCAGTCCCACATTAGCACTAATTCTACCCTCATCGTATTCCTCCCCCCTTTTTGCCATGGCAAGGAAAACCGGAAGAGAGGGAAGGCTATGCAGCTGTATTTTGGAGAGTGTTCGTCTTGTGTTATGGTTGTATGGGGGTGTGGGAGGGAAGGGGAGGGGAGAGAAGGCGCGGGGGAGAAGAGAGAACTGCGGGTGATTCCTCCTCCCCTGCTCTGTAGTTCCCCACAGAAAAACGTGACTGTAGATCGTGCTTTGTGATTCTCACCCTCTCCTACAAGAATATGTCCTTCAGTTTCATTTGGAAGGAAGCAGCCAAAAGTTTGCTAAATATATGACAAAGGAATTCTCAGTGAAGGGGGGCTCCCTGCTGCGTTAGAGTATCTAATGAGTTGTGCACATGAAAACCGCAAGGAAGGAGAGATCCTGTCAGGTTCAAGGGCTGTAAATACAGACCCACAGAGTAAGATTAACACTGTGCAGACACCCCTCACCCCCTAGGTGAGGGATCTGGAACAGCAGCCCGATTAGGAAACAGATCGAACATCATAAACGGCAGTTTGGGAAAGCAAGCCTTCCCTGGGCAGCTCATGTAGGGGTTAACAGTAGCCAGCACTTCAGTTAGGTATGCACTGCAGATGGCAAGAGGAATCCCAGAGTGAGTCTCGGTCTGAAAGCCAGGCTGTCCATGCGCACGCAGTGTGCTGTGCAAGTTCCTAGCACACATAGAAGTTAAAAAGACATTTTCAGTCAGACGGCTTGTCTGGTTTGAAATGAAGTACGGTTTCCAAGAGAGCAATGCTAGTACTTATTTATAATTCATATTAACGGTGGATAAGGGAAGCAAAAGAGAAATTATAAACTGTTGTTTTGACTAAGCCACCAGCACTGCGAAATTCTGGCTGGGTTTGGATTCAGCCCAATAACGCCTCTGAGAAGAATTTCAGTCCATTGGATACCAGCAGGGATGAATTTGGCTCCTTGTAGCAAAAGCCAGGGAGGAAAACGCAGTGAAGGCAAAGTAAAATGCAGCATAACTCGGGGAAAGAGGGATGGTAAAGGGGGGGGGGGGGAAGGAGAAGGATGAAAGGCTTCCAGTGAGAAAACTGGGTTCCAGTTAAGATTCATTTTCAAGCTCTGCTGCAGAAGAAATCACGTATTTTAATTAAACAACATAGGGCAGAACCATTAAATAGATCACAAACACTGTCCATTAAGCTTAATAGGAACAACTACCTTTCTTACAGCTGTTCTTGAAACGAATGAGGGAAGGGATATATTCAGTGTTATTCAGGAATGTGGATGCCTCTACCCAGGAGATGGGGGGGATGCAGTCTTTCGCACCGCAGCACTAGGATTTCTGTTGCGATAAGTGCTACTAGGCAATTTTAACTGATGCTCTAGCATCTTCTGAGGATTATTTTTAGGGGAAAAAGAGGAAATGGGGAATTTATTGACTATATCTGATAGTATTTGAACACTCATCTCACACTGTGTACAGGAGAGCTGTGAGAAGTGAAGCCTAAAAATGAAGTAGGAGGAGAGAGAAAACCGGAATTTGGTCTAAGAATGATTCAGCTCCCTCCTAATTACTCAGGCAAGTATTCAGCAAGCTGAACAACCGGTACCTGTGGGCACAGCCCATGAATAACAAGACAGGGAACATGCTTTCCTGTGTGTGAGTGGCATGATGTGGGTTCCCATGTTACCAGCCAGGAGCTGGCAAAGGGCAGAGCAGGCAGAGCCTGCAGCACATTAGCAGGGAGGAAACAACAGCCCTTGTTTTGTCCACAATTCGAGGTCTGATCACCAGCAGTGGAAGCTTTCAGGCTGCTCACAGAATCACCTTCAGCCTCCAACACACACGCCTGCGTGCTGCAGAGCTGGGCTGGGAGGCAGCTAAGAGAGTGAAACACCAAAACGCTGAGCAGTGCCACTGGCTATTCATCGCTGAGCTCTCCTGGAGCCGGTGGTAACACAAAGACCACTTCAATACCCTCCACCTTCCTCAGACATTTCCAGGTTGGGGTTTTTTTCTAGCAGGGAGAGAAATACCTCATTTACTGAAGTGCTGCTCATCTATGCCTCAAGTATATGGCTGGGAGATGAACTGAACTAGGGCAGAGAGCAAAAAAGAGAGAGGGAAATCGTACCTGCTTTGGCACCGAACATTTCACAGCCTCTCTGGTTTCTGCGTTTCCCCAGGCTGAGACGCCAAGGTGTGCCCCAGTCTGTTGAGGGCTGCGCAGTCAGAACTATTTGAGGATCAAGCCTTTTATGCCAAACTCCTAATTACTTTATGTCGTTCACTGCTGTTTATGTAACTACTGAATTTTGACCATCAGTGGCAGTCGCATCTCTGTGCCCCAGGCTCCTTCTGATTAAATTTGAGGGAATAGCTATGCCTAAGTTTCTTTTTTGCCTTGCGTTTTCAGAATCTCTACATATACAGTTAAGCTGTGGGTTGTTTTAAGGACCTCTCTATGATAGGGTGCTCCAATTCAAGCCAAGTCAAGATTCCTCTGAGGCTTATGTTCAGAAATGGAGAGATTTAAAACATGATTTTACCATAAACCATCAGAGATGAGTCCCCACTGATTTCCTGATTATTCTCTTAGTTGTGCAGAGCCAGATCCCCAGAGTTGTTTTGGTACCTGATTCCTTATAGAGCAACTAGGACTTACATGTTCAGTGGATCAGGGTCTCCACTGCTGATCCCACCTCCCCCTGCCTTAGCTTATTCCCACAGCTGCACAGGCTGGTTTGACTGTGTCATTTCTAGCAATGCCAGATTTCAACATCTATTGTCTGATGTGCAAAGGAGAAGTAGTCACAACATAATCAAATCTCTGGGTATTATAATCTGGTATGGAGGTGGGACTGATCTGAGGTCTCCAGGTGCCTTGCCAATGGCAGTTTTTGGCCAAGCTCAACTGCTACAGAAAGGAGGCTCTATACAAGTCCCACTTGGCACAAACTCTCTCAAGTCACAAAGTTATTGGACATGGAGAAAGGAGGAATAGGATCATTTAGTCTATATCCCATTTGGTCTATGCACCTTCCCTGGAAGTGTTCAAATTCAGGTTGGACAGGGTTTTGAGAAACCTGGTCTAGTGGAAGGTGTCTCTGCCCATGGCAGGGGGGGTGGAACTGGATGAGCTTTAAGGTCCCTTCCAACCCAAACCATTTTTTGATTTCTATGATTCAATATTTTACGGAGGAAAGGGGATATATAGAGAGGCATGTCTGTGTGCATATGACAGAGAAAACAGGTAAAGGCTAAATTCCATTTTTCATTGAAAATAGTCTCTGCTTTAATAAAATATTCTCAGGTTTGAGTTCTCCTCCTGTGCATCTCACTTTAACTTGGGAAGCCTTTCAAAAACTTGTCCAAAAGCTGAATTGAAGAAAGGACAGAAGTCCCACAAAGCAGGGCACAGGCTGGACTGAGAGGTGTGGACAACCAACCATAGGAAAAACTACTTCTTGCTGCTTTGCAGACCTAAAGGCACCTAAAGGCACCAGGTGTTTCTGTTTGATCTCAAACTGCTCAATGCTCCTTTGCCTGCATTTCTGGGCATTGCTGGCACTGGCTGGGATGGCCTGTTTAGATAAAGCTGTTGCCAACTAGGAGTTACATTCAAGCCTGGTTTAAGGAGGGAGATGAGAGGCATTTGGAGCACAGATCAGACTGCCTCAGGCCATGGGCTCAACCAGTTTCACTGTGACCAAGCAAGTGGCTGGAGCAGGGACCCTCCGTGTTCCTCCAGCCACAGAGTCAGTGCCTTGTGCACCCATGGTGCTGCATAAAGGAGCATTGCAGGCATTTCCTGCCTGTAGAAACAGCAACAGAGATTTGGGATAAAAGTTTGAAAAATCCATCTTCAAGTTTATCCTTTTAAGTCTTCTTTAATGTCCCATCACTGCTAAATTTTACAGT